GTGCCCTTTTTAGATAAATTTGATGTGTGTGTCTGTTTATTTGGGAAAATTCCTCTCCTCTTCCCTTATCGTGTCCATATAATGTGTTGCTGATGACACACTTATCCTGCATCTGCCCTTTATCTCCCTATTTTTAAGAATTTTGTTCTAATTTTAGTAAGTTTTGACGTATCTCGACTAATTTATGATTTCCTTAATGATTTTAGCAAAGTGTTAGTGATTCTTCGACAATTGTGATAGTGTTGATTTGTTTATTTTAGTGATTTGGTCCAGACAATTTATTGGGCTAGAACTGATATATATGTATAAAGTATTTTTTTCCATATTTCTTAGAATAACATGTGTTTTGGTCGTTGTTCGTGGGAACCTTTGTATCTGCAAAAACTCTTGTCTGTTGAGATTTATGAGGGTTGTCTCGTAACTCTTGGATGGACATGTGTTTTAATTGCTAATTGCTGACATACTTGGTTAATATTATATGATAAAGTTAAATAGATTAATTTGCGTTGATTGTTATATAAATTAAATCGTTGTCTTCTCTTTAAATTTGATTGTTCCTTTCCTTTTCTCTTTACAATAAAATTGGTGGGTCAATTTGGCCCTCCACAAGGAACCAATAAGAAGTAGCAAATTACTAGTTCAAGGAAAAAAGCGTGCAATGTTCTGTTCATTGTTCATTGTGTTCATTTTGTTCATTGTTCTGGAACCGCATCAAAGGAGCAGGAAATCTACGGGAGGATCTTAATCCTGTCAGTTTTGGCCAGAAGGCGTAGAAAAGTAATACAACTATGAAAGTTGCGCCAGCACCAAGGATTGCAGCAAGATAAATGTTGATACATGAACATTCTTCTGAATTATTAGCTGGAATTTTTGATGTGGTCATATTTGATAACCATAAAGAATCGTTTGTCCTAGATGTGATTGTTGAACTTTTCTCCGTTTGAGTGGATAAAACAGAAATGTCTGAAAAATAAATAATAGATGTTTTATTAAAAGGTTAAAGGACAGGTTTGATTTTGTTTCTAAACCGAAAGATGGCGAGGAAACTAAGAGGAAAAAAAATATCTTTGATTTTATGCCAAAACTGCAAAGGAAAAACATTTTTTGCTTCATCTGAAACGAGGAAATCTATAATTAAAATTTCATTATTCTAACTCTGTAGAAAAGTTAATTTTTTTCTTGATTTTTAAGGCCTATCACATTGACAGTTTTATTATTTTGACAATGATGTCACTTTGACAAACGAGTTTACGCAAGTTAAATAACAAAACTGTTTATAAAAAACATAATTTTAATAAACAGCTATTCAAAGAAACAGCTTTAAGATAAAAACTAAAGTTATTTTTAACAAGAACTATCATTATTTAATTAATAAATTAATTGTCAAAATGACATATAGTTGTCAAATGAATAACACCCCCAAAGTGAGAAAAAAAAGCAGAGAAATATTATTCAACATCAAAAATCAAAAAATTAACTTTTTTTTTCACTGAATCAGAATACGTAATAAAGTTTTAAGTAAAATGGC